AATAAGTCAACATTTACAAAATTAAGTATCTGAATTTAAGATAATCTATTGTGAATTATTTAAGCTTGTTTATTACCATAGTCCATAAGTCTTTTAGCAATGTCTACCACCTCCACACCAGCTGTCTTCTTGAATTCTCTGCAGTCAACAATAAATTCATGTGCACAATAACCTGAAAGCAAAAAACAAAGTTCCGTACTGAAACTTTTTCTTGTTACAAAACACAATAGGTAAGATTCAACAGGCATTCCTTGTACTGAATACTAATTAAATGAACAGACCTGGTCAATCATCATTTACATCTATTCCATTATTAGCACAGTTATCAATTAATACTATTAGCATTTTAAGATAAAAATCATGAATAAAAATATTTCTCACCAGCAAAATTGCTATACAGTGTCTTATAATAGCCCTTCAGTCTATGGCTCATGTAGTTGGCATTAAGAATGGCAATCTCTGTGGCATGTCTCAATCCCTCTGCCCCCATCATCTTGATATATGCCCAGGATATTGGTAGAATGGCACTTGAACCATAGGGGGCACCACTGATCACACCAAAAGACTCTGCCTCTGGTCCCGTGGTCCCATATGGAGGGATGATGGGGTGTGTGGGAAGATGAGGAGCCAAATGCCGTTTTCTGAAAGATGAAAGACAATAAAAAAATGTTATTTTGATGGAAAATACCTGTGTAGTCTTTTGATTATGTTATACACTTGAACTTTTTAATTCCTACACTTACTTGAGCTGTACCGAACAAAGCTTTCGATCATTACCATGACCTTCCTCAGTGTGTGTGACTCTGAGAATGAACACTATTCACTAATGTCTCAGTAATTTGGGACAGCACTATTACTGAGACACTAGTGAGACTTAACATAATTTAAAATGTTATCTAAAGGACTACTAATAAAATAATAAGGCAAGTCGTACGTTTTCCTGTTTCTATTACTTATTTAAGCATAAGATATTTTGCTATATATAAAGACTTGGAAATGTGATACAGATGGTAAATCTACTTAACACAGGCCTGTTCATGACAGCTTGCTCCATAAACCCACAAAACCTACTTACACTCCAATGGGCCCCATGCCAGGGCCTCCCCCACCATGGGGTATGCAGAAAGTCTTGTGTAGGTTGAGATGGGAGACATCAGCTCCATAGTCCCCAGGTCTACACAGCCCCACCTGGGCATTCATGTTGGCACCATCCAGATAGATTTGACCTCCATTATCATGAATCAGACTGCAAATGTCCCTGAAGATTAATACAGGTGAAGAATTGATATACACTAGTGGGTGAACTCATGCACTTGTTCCTGAAGAAGAAATGATACGAACCATCCTCTCCAGAACAAGGTTTAAGGATGGAAAAGGGGAGGGGGGATCGACTAACCCAACAGATGTTGTGTAATTACAGCAAGCAGGACTCATTGAATAAACAAGTCACACACCAGCTCGACAAATTACTTTATTTCCAAGTGAGATTCTTAATTTCAGAGTTGATGTGCTACACTTCTATTCATTAAGAATTAAAATAATTGTTCTTAGGGAATCCTACCTTATTCTTTCCTCGAACACTCCAAAAGTAGAGGGATACGTAATCATCATACACGCTAAATTGTCTTTGTGCTTTTCTACCATGGTTTTGAGATGGACCATGTCTATTTCACCATATTTGTCTGCTTTGATAGGTTTGATTTCCATCCCAGCCATTTGTGCACTTGCAGGGTTGGTACCATGGGCAGAAGCTGGGATCAGACAGACCTTGAAAACAGTGATAAAACTTGAATGTAAAAGTTAAAGCTGTATAAAATAAGCAAAATGCATTACTCAGGTTAATGAAATCTTTGCTCAAGCCAAAAAAAGATTTCAGATGTTTACAAATATTGATATGAGAAAGGCCAACTCTCTTTAATGTTTTAGCATGACCCTTTCAAAAGTTTCAAAAGTTTTGTACAAGATTTTACAATTCATAATCCAAAGTCTTACTGTTCTGTGTGATTGTCCTTTTGATTTTAAATATGCCATTATTGCCCTCAGACCTGCATATTCACCCTGGGCTCCACTGGAATTGAACAAAATATCAAAATATCAATCTCATCTGTTGATAGCATATCAATATGCATATCAAAGACTCTCTAGTAAAGATAAACCAACTTTTCCGATGATTTTTCATCACATTTTTCCAGTACATCTGTGCATGAAACTCCAAACTGAAACCAAAAATATGGGAAGGATTTCAATCATATCAACACAGCATCATTTGAAACTTCACATGCTTTGATGCCAAACACATACCTGTTTGGTTGGAAAGAGATTCTGTCATACCCTGTGATTTCACAGAGGTCTTTTTCCAGCTCCTCAAACAGTTGAAGGTATCCTAGTGCCTGCTCAACAGGAGCAAATGGGTGAATGTGAGCAAATTCTGACCAGGAACACGGCTAAAAAGAGACATTTTATCTTTATTTATTAATTTCAGAAAAAGCAAATCTGTCCCACAAATTTATCTTTTATCTATTTTATCTAACTGATCATAAAAAGATATTAATAATACTGAACAAATAAAATGTTAACAAAATGCTGGTAAGAGTTAGATAATTATTTTAATTTACATCAATTATCAACATTAAATAATACTATAAAATGCACAGGAAAAAAGAACAAATTATCAAAATCTCAGTTAATTCAATGGACATGCTTACAATCATTTCTGTGGTACTGTTCAGCTTCATTGTACATGACCCTAAGGGAATCATGGAGTGAACTAGAGATACATCTTTATTTTCCAATATCTTCATGTATCTCACAATTTGTGTCTCTGAGTGAAATCTGAAAGCAAAAAAAAAAAAAAAGAAGGAAAATACACTGTCAAGTTTTTGCTGGTTTCCTAAGAATATGTTTGTGTTAGTCATCTGATGTGTTTTATAGTTTTAAATTTAAATGCGTTTCTTCATATAAATAGGAGGTGATATTTCAAAGTGAAATATTTATGTTATGATGAAAAAAATTATAAATTACTGTATTCTTGAAAAGTAAAACTGAAATATGCATTCATATGCATGTCTGAATTAGTTAAATGGAGCTAAGAGGTATATTCAGTGTAATGTCTTTCTACTATAAGAATGTCCTACAATTCACCTCTTTTGCTCAAATGACAAGACACTTTTGAAAGAACTCGCATCATTTAGCCTTTACCTGTTAAATACATTTTCCGTGAGATATTTTGATGTCCTTTTAAATGGAGTATTAAACAGAGATCTGGGACAGTCTCTTTCCAAAGCCACTGCAATATCTTCCTGAAATTTTACACCCAATAATAATGATAGATTTCCCCAGAAACAGTGATATCAAACTGTAATATCTACATATTATCTGAATAATTTCAATAACAAAAATATCCCAAGACAATGTTGTGCATGAATTTATTAGATAAACACAATGCAAAATGTTAAAGATAAAAAATGAAAATGTGTAACTCACAGCTTTCTTCTGAGAACCAAATACCCATAATAAGTCATTGAGGTCTTCTATTTCAACTGTCTCATCCAGAGATACTCCAATCTGAAATAGGTGACTTTGGAATTCAGGTCAATTTTAAGATTTTAATATGATGCTGTTCAGAGTTTTCTGCTATATAGGCAATGTCTACAAGAGACAATGTCTACAAGATTTCGACTCAATTAATAACCAATTTAAATGTTTTTTTCTTTTTTTGGGGGGGGGGGGGAGGGGTACACAAAAAAGTATGCTAATAAATATCTTGTCTTTCAGCAATACCAGTATTCTACCAGAAATCATTCATTGCTTAAAAACACAAGAGTTAAGACAATTAGGATAAATTAAGTAAAAGATAAAGCCTCCATGGATTTTCCTTAGACTCACATGATCATCAGGGAAATATCTGAGATTGATTTTCTTTTCCTGAGCCCTCTGAATAATATTGTTCAATTCCTGGTCAGCTGGCATGATCTTCAGGGTGTCATAAAATACGTTGTTGACCTGTGAGTGACCAGCGCTCTCTACACCTGAGAAGTTATTTATATAACATTGATAAGACTGATTTATACCCTGACTATTGACATTAACCTTTTCAAAGCACATGAAGAGTCAATATAAGTGGAGATACCACTTTCAGGAAAGTTGTACATGGGCAACAATGACTATGAAAAAAAATGAAACAGAAAGAGAGAGAAAGATTATGACAAGCTCATAAAACAGACATATTATCAGACATACTAAGTCACATACAGCATGAATAATTTCTTACCCTCATTCAAAATCAGTGCAGCATGGTGAACGCGGGTTCCAATGTGTTTCAGGCCATGGGGGCCATGATATACAGCATACATGGCTGACATATTGGCCAGCAGTGCCTGGGCAGTGCATATATTACTGGTGGCTTTATCACGGCGAATGTGCTGTTCTCTTGTCTGCAGGACCAGCCTGTAGGCCTCTTTTCCACTGCCATCTCTAAATGAAATAATGTATAATTTGTTTTTAAATACACATAGAAAGGAATAGAATTTGGTATGAACTTTGTTGAACTGTTTTTGGTATGTTTATGTGTAAATTTATGTTTTTTCTCATTTAAACCTTAACATTTGGTGAAATGGTATAAAAATTTAACTAAAAAATGCGTAATAATTTTTTAAAAATAAATATTGTATAACTTCTCACTTTTTATCAATTAATCAGAAAAAGTTAGGATGTCTGGCATAATAGATAATGCTTTTTAAAAGTAATAAAACATACCAAGTTTAAAATTATTGAAAAAAAAAGCATACTTTGTAACCCCAATCATCCTTCCTGGCACCATTCTTATGTACTTTTTCTTCACAGCAAAGAACCCTGCATGTGGCCCCCCATACCCCAGGGGAACCCCAAACCTCTGACTGGTGCCTACAGTAATGTCCACTTCAAACTCCCCTGGGGGCTTTAGGATTGTGAGGGCTAACAGGTCAGTGGCACATACAACTAGGGTCTGAAATGAAAGGAGAAAATTAAAGTTACATGCTTTTAAGCTTTTACTTAACTGGTCCTTTATCAGCATAAAACAATCAGTATGATGACATCACCCACTTGTTGTAACATTTTCTTTATTCAATATTTATTCAATATATCCGGATAGCTAACATGTTTTTGTTGTGGTGGTTGGGGTTGTGGTGGTGTTGATATCAATGTTTGTCATATGGTAATCCACTGGTATGTCTTATAAATGACAAAATTGAGATCCTAGGCAGCATTCACAACAGCAGACTAACTAGTCCATGGCTCAAAAATGATAACCCACTTAAAAGTTTGTTATTTATAATCCCCTAATAGACACTGAATAGATTCCACTCGGGAATTACGCAACAAGTATTCAGGTGGGTCAGCCATATTTGATCCGTGGACAAGTTAGTTCGCTGTTGTGAATGCCTACCTGAATTATCAGGTAATCCTCTTTCATGAAATTGTAACTCTCTTTCTGTTGATTTTGCATGTCTGGTTTAAAGTAGTAGGTCTCCAGCATTGAGAAAGCCTATAACTATCTCTACATTGTGAAGTAAGACTATTTAAGAAAAAAAAAATCAAGAAAGTATATAAATTGTTACCCCATTTGCTTGAGCATCAGCTACAAATGCAGACAGATCTTCAATGCTGCCATTTGTGTCAGGATACTGAAACAGGACTCCACCAATGTCTTGCTTTGAGAAATCCATCTCATCAGCTGGACAGCAGATCACTTCTATTCCTAATACACTTAAAAATTCAACAAAAAAGGAGGCTTTCATATTTCATTCCCTCAGAGGGCAGCATCTATTGTGGTGGCACAAGACCATGAAGCATTTTGATGGATACAGACTGTACAAGAACATTTAGTCGTAATTCTTTTGCAATAAAAGGTGTCAAATTATATTTATCTTTTTTTATTGTTTATAATATGGTTCACAACAGCATTCATATTCAAAAAACCATACTACTAAGGTATGCCACAACCTTATATGCATTCCCATGTTAAATATTGGATAATGTATGTATACCACATAGAGTAAGCTGTCAGGCATAATAATACATGAAACTAATTTATGCTTTATTTTTTATCTACATGAAAGATAATTCAACAAACTACTGAGCAACTCATTTTTTCCCATGGGATCCTCATACCTTGCTCTTGTTGTAACTACTGCAATTGTTTGGGGGTGACATCTTTCATCTACATAGAATTTCTGTCTCTGGTTGTATCTATAATCCATGATTTCATCATATGTTTAATATAACAGAAAACACTAAGACAAAAAATCATGTAGTTTATATATTCAACAATTGTCTATTTATTAAGATTAAACATCAGGCAAGAGCATGCATGGGCTCAAACATAAGACAACTTCTTTCCGTTGTGCTAAAAACGAAAGGTTGATAAAAACTCTGACAATTAATATACCTGTATATATTTATATATATACACACATATATATATAAGTAGGTCAAAATCTGCTTGTGATGAATACTGACTATATAGAATGTATCAAGTGGTGGCACTTGAAGGAGCTATTTGAAGATTTATTAACAAATTACACTCCACATCTAATTTTTTAAAATATATTTTCTGCCTAATAAATAGGCTCACCCCTCAACCATATTAAAGACATATGGACAAAATAAAATATAACCATTCTCTATAGTGCAAAAAAAATCAAGTTATAACAGATAACATCATTATTACCTGTAACACAGCCATTACCTGCAACATAGTCATTACCTGTAACATAGCCCCATGGCCTCTGCAGCAGCTGTAGCCTCATCCAGCAGAGAGGCATTGGCAACATCCAGGCCTGTCATGTCACAAATCATGGTCTGGTAGTTAAGAAGACTTTCCAGCCTACCCTGAGCAATCTCTGCTTGATATGGAGTGTACTGGGTGACCCTGGTAGAGAACAATGTACAGTCTAAATTTCACATAAAAAAACAGCTTTTGTCCAGCATGAGATCTTGTATCACCCCAACACCTATTTTCCTTACATTTGCCCATTATATGAGACACTTTGTGCACAACCAAATGTCAACTAATCTAAGTTCTGAAACAACTTAATTAAGAGCATTTTTAATCATTAAGGAAAATTTTTCATTAAAAAATATATATGTATATATATACTTTGTAAAGGGTCAATGTTGGTTGATGTTGGGTTTAAGCCCTCAATAACCAAGATCAGCTGGCTTTACATTTTATGGCTGGTCTTTATGGATCTGTTTAATCCTAGTCCCCAAGCAGCATCATATGTGGCTTTTAAAATTAGTATTCATGATTATCAGCACAAGCTGCACAACCACAGATCTTTACCACCAATATGTCCAATGCTTAGTGAAGAGACAGTACTGGACCAGGTATCACTTTCATAATGTTTTTTTTTGTCTGTTTGCTTGACCTTTGAAAATGAGCTATTGTGACCTACTACACCAAAAATGACCACTCCTGCACCATTACGAACAAAAAAAAAAAAAAAATTCTGCACTGGAGACAAGCATTCTGCCTGTAGAGCCAATAGGTCAGAATAACTACAGTAACTTTAATTTTGGTTTTATTTTAAATACTCTTACCATCCAGGATTTTCAAATATATTTCTCATTATTGTTGGGGGTACATCACATCCATAGTAACCCATCCCAATGTATGACCTCCATAGCTTATTATTTTTGGCAATTCCTTTAAGGTGATCAAGTACTTCATGTTCTCCTAAAAAAAACAAATACTGAATGGGAAAACACATCAAATATCAAAATTATTTTTGACAATTGCAAATTTGTGAAAATTCTCTAAATAAAAAATTCATTACTAAATGGAGTGTTAGAGTTAATTGTCAGAATATGTTAACTGGTGGTTAACACCAAATGACTTTGTACTCACATAACGGTAAAGAAAACTATGGTACTACCTGTAAGCTTGACCTTTACTTATAAATTGTCTTTGAGGGCATCAGGGAACATGCAGCTATTATTGTATACTTTTATATACTGGCTATATTAAGATATATCACATTACAAACCATAGCATTACTTAAACACACTAATAACACAAGTATTATTCAATGTGTTTGCTTTTACTTAATTTTGTTTACATTTTTGCTATATCATGTGATTTAAAACAGATAGAAATAAATATAAATTGAATGATAGATTTATTTTTGAAAATGTTATCCTGGTCTCTGCATGAAATTAAAACTTTTTTCTTTTCTCTTTTTTAATTCAAAAATATAAAAACATGAATGGGGTCTTTTGTAAATCATTGTAAAAAACTACTAGGATTAGGGTAAACAAATATTCATGAAAAGGTGTCAAGAACCCTTAAAATTGATCTACTGGAAATTTGTATGTGTGCAAGCATATGCGTGTGTATATGCATATATGTTTGTATGCATACATGCACATGCTAGTGTGTTCTAAGCAATGGCATTGTGATCAGAAGTTATACATTGGTTAATACAATTCAACATCAGAGCAGTTATGCTATAGCTGAGGTGTAATGCAATACATTCTTTTTTCAGCAATAGATCATCTTAATACAATGACTTTAGAGTGCTTGTCCATTCAAGAGAAGTCATGCAGCAAAGCTTGAAAAAAAAAAAAGACAAATCCTATTGTCAGACTGACATGTTTTGGTCACTGACATGCAGTTGTTGACTTTGGTAGCCTAATCTCCTATCCAACATTCAATAGTCTTACTTATTTCTTTTTCCTCTTTTTTTGGATCACGGTTTTTGGCAAAACTTTTTCAAACTGTTTTTTATCATCTTGACATACAAAACTTCAACTTCAAAATAAAAATGTTAAAATACAAAATACCTAATATCAGAAGAGAGAAAAAGAGAGATATATATGGGAAAGAGGAGCACATTGCACAATTAAAAATTAACAGGCAAAGTGCATTTTTCAAAAGAAAATGCTATATTTACACATCATTTATGGTATATATAATGACAAATGATTACCTTTAGGTTCTTCCAAATCAAGTTCTCTACCTAGTCTGATATTTTCAGGAACAGCTTTGTTGATCAATTCCTTAATATCCTGCAACAAAGGACACTACACTCATTTTAGGTTTCATATGATCAATATGACAAATGGTCATACATATTAAAAATATTTGTAATGTATGTTCAAGAACAAAATAATAATTATATCAGGTTTTTGAAAAATATTTGAACCATCATCCAAGTTAGTACAGTATTTCTCACAATAATCATGTACGACTGGGTTCCCATGCATGCTGAGATCGATCCATCTGGATCGGTCTACCTCCCTGGGAAGTCTCACTAAATTGCTATCAACTTAACCAACTTAAATGTCTGTCACGCCTACCGAATCAGCTAGGGGGTAAAGATAATTACCACCTAACAGCTTTTCTAGGCGTGACAGACATTTAAGCCACTTAAGTTGATAGCAATTTATTGAGACTCCCCAGGGATATAGATTGATCCAAATTTCTGTGGGAATGGTCCCTATGAAAATGAATAGCCTCAATATAGGCTACCCTATACCAGAACCACAAATACATTTTTCACTAGATATTAACTTAACAGATATAGCTCCGGCTAATTCTCTACTCTTTTCTAAACTGTGACCCTGTACCAAAATCTAAGCTATAATTACAGGGTTGCTGTCACTCTTGGCATATCCCTATTCCCACCTTTTATAATTATGTGTTACGTTATTACAGCCAAGTTTATTTTATCATATTAATGTATCAATACCCAACTTTTTGCCAACAAGCACATGCAATAATAAAAACCCAGCAAATAATTTTATTCAGTAATAAAACTACTTGGGCACTGCCACTTGATCCTGGGCCTTGCCAATTAAGTCCCTCTGACAGTAATCAACACAGTTAATTGCTCTGAACTAAATTGCTTACTCTACTGTGCAGAATTTAAGGAACATCCTCCTTACCACCTGGCTTGTTGACCAGACAGATAAATAAAAACATATTACCTAATTGAGCATTTAACACCTATGGAATATATATAGAGAGAGGTGCACGCTGTACAAAGACATAAAGGTTTGCTCAAAGGTAAAACTATTGCTTCCATTTGGTAAAGAGGCATAGAGTCCATGGGAGAACGTATGTATGGAATTGATGTCATCCCTCAGCTGGGCTCTGGTAAGCAAATGTCTGCAGGCTGTCACGTTTTACAGAATAAAGTCATAACTTAACATCCTGCAATGGTGTAATTGTATTTGATTATAGAAAAGACCTGTCACCTGGGCTCGGATCAAGGGTAACTACATGATGTCAAAAAATTTAGGAAGTAAAGTTAAAATAACATCCTTATTCTTGACATCCTGCAATGGTGTAATTATATTTGATCGTAGAAAAGACCTGTCACCTGGACTCGGATCAAGGGTAACTACATGATGTCAAAAAATTTAGGAAGTAAAGTTAAAATAACATCCTTAATCTTGACATCCTGCAATGGTACAATATATTTTTTTGATTACAGAAAAGGCCTGTCACAGTTAGTCATACATGTCCACTTGACCCTCAAAGTCCACTCCTAGTTTGTTTTCAACCTTGACACAAAAGACTTTTCCCTGCAAAACAAGGTCTGGCACAGTGTATCAATTTTTTATAGCAAATGAATTTTATAGTAGTGCCAACTAAGCAGACAACANGGACTCGGATCAAGGGTAACTACATGATGTCAAAAAATTTAGGAAGTAAAGTTAAAATAACATCCTTAATCTTGACATCCTGCAATGGTACAATATATTTTTTTGATTACAGAAAAGGCCTGTCACAGTTAGTCATACATGTCCACTTGACCCTCAAAGTCCACTCCTAGTTTGTTTTCAACCTTGACACAAAAGACTTTTCCCTGCAAAACAAGGTCTGGCACAGTGTATCAATTTTTTATAGCAAATGAATTTTATAGTAGTGCCAACTAAGCAGACAACAGTATATGGTCACTTATTCTCAATATATACTAGTCAACATTTGCTAGGGATCATGTCTGTTGCTAATGATATTTTGACAATTATGACTGGTTTGCTTAAAAATACTAAACAAGACCAAATTTCAGTAATTTCAGAGTAAAAGTGAGAAAAAAAGATCAAATTGAAAAAGAACATGATCGCCACCAAGAACACTTCAGAAGAGCACTGCTTTAACACACATTCACATTAAAAAACCCTTTATGCCAAGCATCAGTAAAATGTCTCATTGGTTGAGCCCAAAGCCCAATTAGGATGAAGTTGTCACCAACAGCGCCTGCATAGGGACAGACTATAGGGGTGACAATCTCACCTCGTTATCTGAGACCAGTGAGAGTTCCATTCTATCACATGGAGGTCAGTATTTCCATTGATTTTAATTCCATCCCATACCAGAACTGATGACCCTCAAAACCGATCATGCTCGAAGATGTTTGGCTGACTGTTCCACTCCGTCTCCACACCCTCCTGCATGACCACTTCTGGATCGTCCACAGCCTGTGATTTATTGCAAACTGTATTGCAAACAGATGGCCTTCTGGCCCTCAACTGAGCTTCATGCAGACATCTTCTGAATGATTAAGTTGACACATGTACCCCTGTTGCATTCTGGAGCACACTGGCTGGAGCAAAGTGATACCGGCTTGCTTGGAGGGCCAAGCAGCGGTCTTGCTGAGGTGTTGTCAGTCTCAAAGTGAAACTTCAAGCCTTCTTCACAAATTCTACTTTTCTTTAACTTAAAACTAGCTTTTTGTGTAAATCATGAAATATTTTTTTAAATTCATGCCTTGCTAGTATGGGCCTGGGGTATTTGTGTTCAGCAACAAAGGTTTTAGTAAAGGAAGATTTAAAAATAACATCCCTTTTGGATGATATTTGCACATAATTAATACTAACAAAAGTTAAGACTGCGCTGAGAAGGTATTACAAGATGCACCTTTATTATACTGATACATTTTGTTCTCGGTATCAAGTACATTTTTCACAATGCCTGGTAACGAAACTTTTGCATATTACTTTATAAAAGAATACAACTTTGCTGTGTTTTTATGTAAAACACTTGACTGTGCCCTGTCACCACATCATCTTCCTTCTCATGGATATACCTGTATTGAAAATTTCATTAATGGGTAAAACATTATAGAACATCAATCAACTAAAAATAATGACCCGTATCAAAAAACTTAACAAAGGTTTTTTTTTCAATTTTTAAAAAACCTGGGGACACTGCTAAAGCAGCTGCAAGCTACTTATTGACTGATCTAAAATAAATATTCTAGACAATTTCTATGACATTTCACATCATACTTGCTTCCAGACAAGTTGTAGATTTTCTATTTTAGTAAAAATAAATTGATTGAAGAATGTGAGATGGTGCTACAAGTAACAAAGGTTTAAAAACAAAGGTATAAAATTTAGTCCGTTTATGTTCTTAGTGTGAGAAAAGATAAATCTAGTAATTTTCTTTAGTGATTTAAGACCCTAAAACTGATTTAAAGAAAATTTTTCATAAAATTTAAAAAAAATGTTAAATGGACTTAAATGGAGAATGAGTGAGTATAGCTGTTAATGGTCTTGTTACCCGTAAGGATGAGATGCTTAATTGTTAAAAAATATATTGAATACATGAAAGTCTCATCTCACTTACATTTACTACCATGAATATTTTCTTTATCAAATTTATTTTTGGACCATATATCATTGATTACAAATTGGGTGAAATATTTAACATTTGCTCATTTTCTATAGCCAGGCTGTACATGTATCAAAGGTGGATAACCCTGAAGTTGAATGTGCAATTGATTAATGATTACAAGTCCCTCGATCATGCTAGCGTGAAGTTGGCATTGTCAGTTGCTCTATCTGTGCTTTAAGTGTACAAATAAAAGAAGTACAATACAGCAGGCCTTCTTTTGAAAATGGTTATGGTGAAATATGATACACAGCTTATACCTGTATTTACAACCCTACCTTGCATGGCTATCACATAATAATATATTCAATACCTTAACACCAATAAACTGTAGCATATCTTTCTTTTCGGTCTCAGATGGACCAATATGCCTCTCCGTAAAGTCATCGTGCCTCGAGTAAAAGTTCCCGTAACACCTCGTTTTTTCCACTGACAGTTGATTCAGTTGACTTGAAATTGGCCTGCAAAGACTGATCAAACTATCATACTTCAGGTTCAACGTCCTGCTCGACAAATATCTAAAGACTCGGTGCATTCTCCACTCTACGTAAAATTAAGACTGGGGTTTCTGTACGTATGAATGTTGGTCGTACTCCACATACATAACCGAACTGCAAGAGGCAGTTCTGTAGTTTTCTGACCCTTTTATTACAACTGTTTATACCTATGCATAACCAACATGTGATGCTTTGGGCTCAACCAATCAGACGTTAGTCAGCAACCAATCAGATGTAAAGCCTGGAACACACCTTCACCGAATATGGGGAATTGGGTCATCATGATAAATGTATGACCCGACACAGATTTTTTGCGTGACATGGGAGTGATCCTTGAGACGAGGAAAAGTTATTTTAAAAGTACGTTTAATTTGCAACAATAGCCCACAGGTTATATATCAATGGGTCACATACGTATCAGTGTATAACCAGCGGTATGACGTGTTTTTTATTTCTCGTCAATAGAAATTTGATTGAAAATGACAAAAAATGTCTACAGAAAAGAATATCTGTTATTCCTTTTAGATTTCATGAGAGCGTAGTATACAGGCTTCACACCCATGCAATGTTTACTCGACAAATATCAACACTTATGTTGTAATGAAATCTGCTGAACGTTAAAATTAATTATATATGTATGTTAAAATTTCATATGATCCATGTTGCTCTAAATTTTCTTTCTTTTTGAACCTTGGCCACAATCACCCAAGAGCATGTAACGTTACATATGCACCCGATGAACTGATAACGGCCCCTACACCGACAGTTGCCTGCTCAGTTCACAAAAATTGAGTTGGCGTAGTTCTTTAGAAAAGGAGGTTCGAATGTTAATAGTAAAATGGCGTCGCCGAAAGTAGCGTACTTCTACGATCCGCAGGTCGGCAATTTTCACTATGGTTAGTACATGGACCATTACGTAAAAGGGCCACTTTAACTAAAGCTGCTCTTATCAACTGCGGTTTCAAATGATCTAAATTTATAAATGCTTAGAGTGAAAATAACTAATTCTAGTCTATTGTTGCAAGCTAATTTGATTTGATGATCTTCTGTAGTACGTAGTACTGTACAATAAATTCAAGTTAGGCCTAAGTTACACATGTAGATGTACATTCAAATTTGGTGTATCCCTGTCACTAATATTTTAATTATATTTTACCATAATCTGTTTTCACTCATGCATAAAATATATATTGTTGGAGGAAATTATCATAAAATAATTTCTTTGTTGCAGTTGCAAATAAGTTCAAATTTTGCAAGATTTTAAGTGACTGCATCAAATTTTTTACAATTGCGCTTTTTCCAATTTTAGGACCAGGTCACCCAATGAAGCCACATAGACTTTCTCTTACTCACAGTTTAGTGTTGCATTATGGACTTTACAAGAAAATGATGGTAGGAATCGCTGAAACTGCACTCAGTTGGGATCCAACATATGAACAGAATTAATTCTTTAAACATTGTCAACAATCATAAGACCAAGTAATTGACATGTCATTTGGATTCTCCTTTACATGGAATGCTTTCTGCAAACTTACTTAAATGATTTCATTTAGATCTTTGAATATATAATTGTTTTTAGTGGAGTCGCTTATTGGCAAAGACAGGTTGTTGTAGGTCATACTAAAATATGCGATAGAGTGCAATACTTTAGAGAAAATGACACCAGACAGGAGTAAACACAGGAAATTGCCAATGACAAGAAAATAGTATGATAGAAAAGCAAAATATATAACTTGGTAATTAATATTGTTGATTCAACTTAACAAATTATAGGGTCATCTGCCATATTGGACTGTCAAGAAGAGTCACTAGTGCAGGCCTCTACTAACTTGAGTGTTCAATATGGCAGACAAACTGTTTTCTTGTTGAAGTGAATAAAATGTTGAGTATTTTATACTTCCCAAAATGTTTGTAATTTTTCTAAGTTTTGAAGTATACTATATGGGATTTTGTGCCAAGTTTAACATTCCTAAAAATGTTAGGCTTTCTTCCACATTCTTGGCATTTTGTAAGACATGACCCTGCTTAAACCTTATAACAAGAAAATGATTGCAAAAGTTATGTAAAGTGGTCATGTGTAATATGGAGACATACTTCTCATGTAAAGAAGAAAGTTGCTTAGGCTTGATCTTTGTAAGGTTTGAAGGTTCAGAAAGAAAAGATGACATTGGGTACACTTCAGATAAACTTATCAATTTTGAGCATTTATCAGTTTTAAGTATGCAGAATAGAAATATGACTAGGGGACTTTTCAAGCAGATGAAGTTTACTTTTAAATTCGTGTTTCATCTCAAGGTAGAATGCAATTTCTTTATGTGGTC